TGTTTATAGTATTGCATTGTTTGTTAAATCTAACATTATTTTTACTGCTTAAAGTTAACCAATAAAACAGGTTAACTAGCATTTATATTATATTTTAGTGACAAGACACCATAGTATTATTGAAATACTATTATAGTCTGCATTCATATTTTTAATACTTTTTTTTTTTAGCTTTTACATTTTCATTTTAAATTTTAATAATTTTGTTTTTAATTCGTATTTTTTTTCCATATGTCTGTACAGTTTTTAGTGATTTTTTTTATTTCAGTTTTAGTTATTTTACTACATCGAGGTAAACTAAAAGTGAGAAATGTGGCCTTGGCAACTATATTTTATTTAACAAACTTTTATTTTGAATGCGATTAATCGTTTTGCAGCCCTAGGCTTTACTACATCTGAGATTTGATTGTGATATTTTCAGGTTCCCAGTCGAGAGATCGACAAAGCAGAGACTCGTTTTTGGACACACTGGAACAGGGAGACGAAACAAGTAAGAACGGATGGATAAAAGTCATTTGTGTTTATCTGGACCGTCTCCATGTGCTGACCACAACCTCTCGTTCCCCTCCAGTTTTTTCTGCAGTTTCACTTTAAGATGGAGAAATCTCTGGCCGCTCCACCGGGTCAGGCGGTGTCGGTCGGTGTGAAGCGTCCGCCTTTGCTCATCACTGGACTCGGTCCACATCCGCACAGTGACTCCATGCCCCCCCCGCCGCCGGGGGGAATACATGGGATGCCCCCCGGAGCCCACATCTTGCCACACATGCGCCCACATATGCCTCCTCCAGGAGCCCTGCCTCCTCACCTGAGGCCACCACTCCCCCGCGACGGCTGAAGGAGTTACGCTTTACTTGAAGGTTTTATAGATAATGCATTAATAAAAGTATTTTAATGCATTCACCTTATAATGCATGTGGGTCAAAGACGTTAAGATGTCCGCATTAAAGGAAATTTACAAAAGTGATTTTAATGTCCATAGAAAGCACATTAAATGTAAGTAAAGTGTCTACTTTTAAGGTTCCAAATAAGTTTTTGGAGAATAAAATGTTAAAATTTGGTTGAAATAATGTTACGTTGTCATTCAGTGTAACACAATATATATGTAAAAATTCAAACATGCTTATTCTGACGTGTACATATTAAAATATATAAAATAATAAGGGAGCATATTAAATTTTATTGTGTTTTAAATGAGTAAGAAATTCTTACTGACAAACGGGCAAAACCTCGGATAGAGGCACATTTTTAAAAAAAAAGTTAAATTACAATTACAATATATTTGGGGTGAAAGTAATTAGTCTTTTAGTAATTAGTCATAAATTGATTTTTGTTGTAAATATGCCTGACAAGATTGTTACACTGAATGACATTCTAGTGGGTCTCTTCTGTAAATCAGGGAAAAATGTATGATATTTATTTTTTGCTCGGAAAAACAAAAACAAAATTGCAATTAAATTAAACAGAAAACTTTTTTTAATTTTTTGGGGAAAAACAACCATTTAAAGCAGTATTAAACTTATTGTTTTTATGCTTAAACCCTTTTTCGTCTTTGACCCATGTATATGACCTCATGAATAATTGTAACCACAGTTATAATACTTTTCTATTCATTGTTACAACTTTAGAAAGTGTAATGCATTAAAACACAAACAAACCTTCAAATGTTGTAATGCATTTTAACTGGTTGCAATTGTTTATGAAAAGATTACAACATACATTATGAATATTTTTTATAATGCATTATAAGTAAAGGCTTCAAGTGTTAATAATTGATGTTTCTAGACATGAATGGACATGTTTATTTATTTAGTTTTTCTCCTTTGTCATGTACACAACCCTCTAAATATGTAGTGATTTGACAGTTCTGTGAATGTTTAGAGAATTGACTTGTGGGCCACAGCAGCCCTACCAATGTCCAAATGTTATTTTTATGCTTTTTTTTAATTTTTATTATTATTAAAACCATCTTTAAAGTTGACATGAAATCGAAGTTGTAATTGTCTTTTCTTCTATACTATAACATCTGAATGAAATGATTTCTTGAATGAGAAATGTACTTGAATTTATCCATTGGAAGTTGATTAGATGGTTGTTGCTTGCTATTTGCGAGGGGGAGGTAAAATTACGTTGTTTGATTATATTTTGAAGGCACATGAAGTAAAAGGAAAAAATTATGTGCACAGATAAAGCTTTTATAATAAACATAGCAATATTCCATTATATTTATATGTGTGTGTGTGTGTGTGTATATATATATATATATATATATAGATGCATTTCTCTCATATATACAGTGGTGTGAAAAAGTGTTGGCCCCTTTCCTGATTTCTTATTTTTTTGCATGTTTGTCACACTTTAATGTTTCAGATCATCAAACAAATTTAAATATTAGTCAAAGATAACACAAGTAAACACAACATGCAGTTTTTAAATGAAGGTTTTTATTATTAAGGGAAAACAAAATCCAAAACTACATGGCCCTGTGTGAAGAAGTGTTTGCCCCCCTGTTAAAACTGTGGTTTATCACACCTGAGTTCAATTTCTCTAGCCACACCCAGGCCTGATTACTGCCACACCTGTTCGCAATCAAGAAATCTCTTAAATAGGACCTGCCTGACAAAGTGAAGTAGACCAAAAGATCCTCAAAAGCAAGACATCATGCCGAGATCCAAAGAAATTCAGAAACAAAGGAGAAAGAAAGTAATTGAGATCTATCAGTCTGAAAAAGGTTATAAAGCCATTTCTAAAGCTTTGGGACTCCAGCGAACCACAGTGAGAGCCATTATTCACAAATGGCAAAAAAATGGCCACCCAGGAGTGGCCGGCCGACCAAAATTACCCCAAGAGCACAGCGACGACTCATCCAAGAGGTCACAAAAGACCCCACAACAACATCCAAAGAACTGCAGGCCTCACTTGCCTCAGTTAAGGTCAGTGTTCATGACTCCACCATAAGAAAGAGACTGGGCAAAAATGGTCTGCAGTTGTTTCTGCTAAGGGTGGCCCAACCAGTTATTAGGTTTAGGGGGCAAACACTTTTTCACACAGGGCCATGTAGTTTTGGATTTTGTTTTCCCTTAATAATAAAAACCTTCATTTAAAAACTGCATGCTGTGTTTACTTGTGTTATCTTTGACTAATATTTAAATTAGTTTGATGATCTGAAACATTAAAGTGTGACAAACATGCAAAAAAATAAGAAATCAGGAAGGGGGCCAACACTTTTTTACACCACTGTATATAGATGATGCATTTCTCTTATATATATATATAGATGTATATATAGATGATGCATTTCTCTCATATATATAGATGATGCATTTCTCTTATATATATATATATATATAGATGATGCATTTCTCTTATATATAGATGATGCATTTCTCATATATATACACTA